GACCCTGTCTCCACCCTCCCACCACGTGACCCTGTCTCCACCCTCCCACCACGTGATCCTGTCTCCACCCTCCCACCACGTGACCCTGTCTCCACCCTCTCACCACGTGACCCTGTCTCCACTCTCTCACCACGTGACCCTGTCTCCACCCTCTCACCACGTGACCCTGTCTCCACCCTCTCACCACGTGACCCTGTCTCCACCCTCCCACCACGTGACCCTGTCTCCACCCTCTCACCACGTGACCCTGTCTCCACCCTCTCACCACGTGACCCTGTCTCCACCCTCCCACCACGTGACCCTGTCTCCACCCTCCCACCACGTGACCCTGTCTCCACCCTCTCACCACGTGACCCTGTCTCCACCTTCTCACCACGTGACCCTGTCTCCACCCTCCCACCACGTGACCCTGTCTCCACCCTCTCACCACGTGACCCTGTCTCCACCCTCCCACCACGTGACCCTGTCTCCACCCTCTCACCACGTGACCCTGTCTCCACCCTCTCACCACGTGACCCTGTCTCCACCCTCCCACCACGTGACCCTGTCTCCTCCCTCCCACCACGTGACCCTGTCTCCACCCTCTCACCACGTGACCCTGTCTCCACCCCCTCACCACGTGACCCTGTCTCTTCCCTCCCACCACGTGACCCTGTCTCCACCCTCTCACCACGTGACCCTGTCTCCACCCTCTCACCACGTGACCCTGTCTCCACCCTCTCACCACGTGACCCTGTCTCCTCCCTCTCACCACGTGACCCTGTCTCCACCCTCTCACCACGTGACCCTGTCTCCACCCTCTCACCACGTGACCCTGTCTCCACCCTCCCACCACGTGACCCTGTCTCCACCCTCTCACCACGTGACCCTGTCTCCACCCTCTCACCACGTGACCCTGTCTCCACCCCCTCACCACGTGACCCTGTCTCCACCCTCTCACCACGTGACCCTGTCTCCACCCGCCCACCACGTGACCCTGTCTCCACCCTCTCACCACGTGACCCTGTCTCCACCCTCCCACCACGTGACCCTGTCTCCACCCTCCCACCACGTGACCCTGTCTCCACCCTCCCACCACGTGACCCTGTCTCCACCCTCTCACCACGTGACCCTGTCTCCACCCTCTCACCACGTGACCCTGTCTCCACCCTCCCACCACGTGACCCTGTCGCCACCCTCTCACCACGTGATCCTGTCTCCACCCTCTCACCACGTGACCCTGTCTCCACCCTCTCACCACGTGATCCTGTCTCCACCCTCTCACCACGTGACCCTGTCTCCACCCTCTCACCACGTGACCCTGTCTCCACCCTCTCACCACGTGATCCTGTCTCCACCCTCTCACCACGTGACCCTGTCTCCACCCTCTCACCACGTGACCCTGTCTCCACCCTCTCACCACGTGACCCTGTCTCCACCCTCTCACCACGTGATCCTGTCTCCACCCTCTCACCACGTGACCCTGTCTCCTCCCTCCCACCACGTGATCCTGTCTCCACCCTCTCACCACGTGACCCTGTCTCCACCCTCTCACCACGTGACCCTGTCTCCACCCTCTCACCACGTGACCCTGTCTCCACCCTCTCACCACGTGACCCTGTCTCCTCCCTCCCACCACGTGACCCTGTCTCCACCCTCTCACCACGTGACCCTGTCTCCACCCTCTCACCACGTGATCCTGTCTCCACCCTCTCACCACGTGACCCTGTCTCCACCCTCTCACCACGTGACCCTGTCTCCACCCTCTCACCACGTGACCCTGTCTCCTCCCTCCCACCACGTGATCCTGTCTCCACCCTCTCACCACGTGATCCTGTCTCCACCCCGATTACGCTCGCATTACACACGGATGCTTTCGTGCGGTCTTCCGAGGTTTACCGAGGCCCTCCGTACCCAACTCGGACTTTCGCTGCGGCGGACAGCTGGAACTCGATGCTACGCCACGGGATGACGAAGTCGGGCACGTTCAACAAATAGGAAGAGGCCCCCGGACGGACCCCTGTGTGATGTACGCGGCGATGGCGATGACCGTTCGTCACCGAGCTTGACGAACCGCGATCGACCGTGGAGGTACGGCTCGATCCACCCCCAGTGCCGCACACGACAAGGCCGGAATTATAATACAGGGAGGAACAATGTTCCACACTGCCCACCAGCTGTCTATCTGACTGTCTGTCTGTCGTGCATAAATAAATATATAATACACACAGATTGGTGGAGACCTTACAAACAGCTCTTTGATTGGTGGAGACCTACTGCCGGGTACGGAGAGGGGAGGTGCCTAAGGGAGGAGGGTCAGGGGAGGGTCCTAGGGAATGGGGGAGTCAGGAGAGGGGCCTGAGGGGGTGGGGGGGGTCAGCGGAGGGGCCTGAGGGAGGGGGGGTCAGGGGAGGGGCCTAAGGATATGGGGGGGGGTGCTCAGGGGAAGGGCCTAACAGAAGGGGGGTCAGGGGAAGGGCCTAAGGGAAGGGGGGTCAGGGGAGGGGCCTAAGGGAAGCGGGGTCAGGGGAGGGGCCTAACAGAAGGGGGGTCAGGGGAAGGGCCTAAGGGAAGGGGGGGTCAGGGGAGGGGCCTAAGGGAAGGGGGGTCAGGGGAGGGGCCTAAGGGGGCGATAGTTCAGGGGGCTGTCTGCCTGGCTACCTAAAGTCAAGTTATCTTGTATACATACAGGTAGGAACAACAGGTTCCACACTGCCCACCAGGGATTATTTGTCTGTCTGTCGTGCACGAATGCGCTGTCCAACCAAGTTCCTACCTGCCCACTCCGAAGGTACGTGTTAAATATTGGAGACATATCACCACCCCCCCCCTGCCCAATATTCAAATAAGCTCAAAAATGCCCCCCCCCCCCAATTTTTTGCTATAACATAGATTTCTGTTTCTTTGATTGTGGTTATGTCTTCTTGGTTCTTTCGGTAAAGTCACGTAGAAGGGAAATAATAAAATAATAAAAATAAAACATAATAAAATACAATTCTCACGACGTTTCGGTCACAACGCAAGCAGCCGTCCTCAGGTGAAGAACAGGTCTGTCTGAAAGACAGCGTCTGAATGAGCACCACCAAGCTTGGCAGCGTATATTTAAGCTGGGTTAGAGGGGGAAGAGCGCCTTGACAAAGGAGTTTGCATATCAAGAGGAATTTAGCATATTTATAGAAAATGCAGATATGGGATTAGTCACTACTTGTGGAATGCATAGGAGGTGGGGGGGGTCTCAAAGTCATATTATGCCCGTGCATTATGTAGGATTAGCAGCATCAAAGGCAGGGAGTAGGGTTAGCAGTAATAAAGGGAAGGAATTTTAATAGTAAGGAGCTGCAGCAGCCAAACCCTCCCAATATTTAAGTTCGGTTAAAAAAAATTAACCCGTAAAAACAAAGTTTTTCACTATAAATCCTTTATATGCGTGTTCAATGGGCCGCAACACCAGCCCACATTGGTCTTTGAAACGGGCGGCTAGAGTCCTCTCGTCCTCTGGCTTGAGATGGCTGCCACCTATGGGTCAGATGATTGCCTGCCACCATTAAGCAATTGGTAATTAAATATAAAAAATGTTTACCTAAAAAGTGTAACATTTTCACGAAAATAAATTGTCACACACAACGAGTCTGTGTGCAAAATGTCAGCTCGATTGGATCACGGGAAGTGGGTTAAAAACGACCGGTCGTAAGCGCGCAAGCAAGCAAGCAAGTGAACTTAATATAAAGGATTTAAAAAGAGAAACAACCCCCGTTTTGGTTACTAAAGCCCATAATCCACTCGACCTTGGTATGCGTGTGTAATGTCAGGTTATATCCGGCTCAATGACGTATCACAACTAGTCATGATGATTGGCTCTGCCGGTCCTGGTCTACAGCCAATGGGGAGACGAGTCAGGGGCGTGGTCCTGACGTCATGGAAAGGTGACAGCTGTAAGTAGATGATTGGTTCTGCTGGCTTTGGCCACAGCCAATGGGGAGATGAGTCAGGGGCGTGGTCCTGACGTCACAGGAAGGTGACAGCTGCAAGTAGATGATTGGTTCTGCTGGCTTTGGCCACAGCCAATGGGGAGACGAGTCAGGGGCGTGGTCCTGACGTCATGGAAAGGTGACAGCTGCAAGTAGATGATTGGTTCTGCTGGCTTTGGCCACAGCCAATGGGGAGACGAGTCAGGGGCGTGGTCCTGACGTCACGGGAAGGTGACAGCTGCAAGTAGATGATTGGTTCTGCTGGCTTTGGCCACAGCCAATGGGGAGACGAGTCAGGGGCGTGGCTCTGACGTCACGGGAAGGTGACAGCTGCAAGTAGATGATTGGTTCTGCTGGCTTTGGCCACAGCCAATGGGGAGACGAGTCAGGGGCGTGGTCCCGGGAGCCTACGAGGGAGCCTGGAATATTCCATGGAGGCTAACCAGGATTGGTGGAAACGTACCACGTGACCCGGGTATTAAATAGGGGTGGAGACGAACGACACGTGGGTCAGAACGGGAACGAACAGAGGAAGGGGGCCAAGCGGGAGCGGGGCTCCGGGTTGCCACGTGGTGGTGTGTCTCTTTCTATCTGTTCCTCTCATGCTGCCTGTTAGCAGCGTAAAGGAAAAGCTGTAGCAGCATCACGTTGCCATCCACTCATTGACATGGTAATTTTCTCTGCCCCCTCCCTCTCTCCGTCCCCGCCCCCCTCTCTCTATATTTAAGGGACCGTCACAGAAACGACCCCCTCTCTTTGTGCCGATATGTGTCCTCTCTCTGTGTGTCCTTGTGATGTCTGTCTGCTTGTATGTCTGTCTGTAGTTTTCTAGTTAGATTTTTGTTGCTATTTCTTTTATGCCTGATGATGATTGCTTGTGTTGCAATCGAAACGTCGTAATATGCTATGATTTTAATTTATTATTTTATCTTTAGACGTGACTTAACCGAAAGAACCAAAGAATAGCTGTATACAAGTTGAACAAAAGACGGATTCTAGAAGCCGCCTCAACGAGCTTTATTACGCGTGCACTAAGCGATTGATTGCGAGGGACAAGTTTTCTCTCGTTTATTTTTTATTTCTGTCTTGTGCAGCGTTGGGAGATTTGCATGATTGACGCTCTATTAAAAAAGTCATTATTAGAAACTCCACTCACTCTAGAACAGGGAGAGATCATACAAACTCCACTCACTCACTCTGTAGAACAGGGGGAGATCACACAAACTCCACTCACTCTGTAGAACAGGGGGAGATCACACAAACTCCACTCACTCTGTAGAACAGGGGGAGATCACACAAACTCCACTCACTCACTCTGTAGGACAGGGGGAGATCACACAAACTACACTCACTCTGTAGAACAGAGGGAGATCACACAAACTCCACTCACTCACTCTGTAGAACAGGGGGAGATCACACAAACTCCACTCACTCTGTACAACAGGGGTAGATCACACAAACTCCACTCACTCACTCTGTATAACAGGGGGAGATCACACAAACTCCACTCACTCTGTACAACAGGGGTAGATCACACAAACTCCACTCACTCACTCTGTATAACAGGGGAGATCACACAAACTCCACTCACTCTGTAGAACAGGGAGAGATCATACAAACTCCACTCACTCACTCTGTAGATCATACAAACTCCACTCACTCACTCTGTAGAACAGGGGTAGATAACACAAACTCCACTCACTCACTTTGTAGAACAGGGGGAGATCACACAAACTCCACTCACTCTCACTCTGTACAACAGGAGGAGATCATACAAACTCCACTCACTCACTCTGTAGAACAGGGGGAGATCACACAAACTACACTCACTCACCCTGTAGAACAGGGGGAGATCACACAAACTCCACTCACTCACTCTGTAGAACAGGGGGAGATCACACAAACTCCACTCACTCACCCTGTAGAACAGGGGGAGATCACACAAACTCCACTCACTCACTCTGTAGAACAGGGGGAGATCACACAAACTCCACTCACTCACTCTGTAGGACAGGGGGAGATCACACAAACTACACTCACTCTGTAGAACAGGGGGAGATCACACAAACTCCACTCACTCACTCTGTAGAACAAGGGGAGATCATACAAACTCCACTCACTCACACTCTGTAGAACAAGCGGAGATCACACAAACTCCACTCACTCACTCTGTAGAACAGGGGGAGATCATACAAACTCCACTCACTCTGTAGATCATACAAACTCCACTCACTCTGTAGATCATACAAACTCCACTCACTCACTCTGTAGAACAGGGGGAGATCACACAAACTCCACTCATTCAATACAACAGGGAGAGATCACACAAACTCCACTCACTCACTCTGTACAACAGGGGGAGATCATACAAACTCCACTCACTCTGTAGATCATACAAACTCCACTCACTCTGTAGATCATACAAACTCCACTCACTCACTCTGTAGAACAGGGGGAGATCACACAAACTCCACTCATTCAATACAACAGGGAGAGATCATACAAACTCCACTCACTCACTCTGTAGAACAGGGGGAGATCACACAAACTCCACTCATTCAATACAACAGGGAGAGATCACACAAACTCCACTCACTCACTCTGTACAACAGGGGGAGATCACACAAACTCCGCTCCACTCTCAAACTCCCGAGCAATCGTCCCGCGCCGATCCCTTCGACGGCGACTCTCCCTTCTCTCCGGCTTGCGTCTTCTTCCTCCTCCTACTCCTCCTCCTCCTCTTCTTCCGACGTAGCCCGTCATCGCTGTCCTCATCGTCATCGTCGTCATCATCGTCTTCGCCGGCGTGATCATCGCCGGTGTCGCCCGCTATTGCCAGCGGCGTCTTCCGGCACTGGCTGCATCCTCGCCGCGTGGGCCTGGCACGGCGCCCCCGGCCTGGCCTCGCCTTGCCGGGCCTCGTCCCGGTGACGGCGTCGCCGCCCGCGGATCCCGTGGGCCGCTCCGTCACTTCGTCTGGCGCACGGGAGGTGAATAGAACGGTCGGGAAGATGATAATACGATGAGACAATACGATGAGACAATATACTGAAGACAATATACTAAGACAATACAATGAAGACAATACAATGAAGACAATACAATAAAGACAATAAAATGAAGACAATACAATAAAGACAATACAATGAAGACAATACAATAAAGACAATACAATGAGACAATACACTAAGACAATACAATTAAGACAATACAATGAAGACAATACAATGAAGACAATACAATAAAGACAATACACTAAGACAATAGAATGAAGACAATACAATAAAGAAAATACAATAAAGACAATACATTAAGACAATACACGAAGACAATATACTAAGACAATACACTAAGACAATTCACTAAGACAATACAATAAAGACAATACAACAAAGACAATACACTAAGACAATACACTAAGACAATACACTAAAGACAATACACTAAGACAATACACTAAGACAATACAATAAAGACAATACACGAAGACAATACAATGAGACAATACAATAAAGACAATGCACTAAAACAATACAATAATACAATACACTAA